CCCGGTTACGTAAAATGGAACACCCGGATGTAGCGGTCCTGTGCAGCATTGGTTACCCGTGGTCTACCACCCGAGGTCGGTCGCGGGTCGAGCCCAGTTGATTGTAGCGCCTCCATAAACGGGAAATTGTTGTGTGATGCACGTTGAAGTGTCTTGCAACTGATGACTGAGATTCGCCAGCCTCAAGACGTCCGATGGCGATGTTCCGGTCAGCTTCGCTAAGTCGTGGCATGTTGAATTCGTCAGTAAACTGGCGTTGAAAGTGAATTGAACACGTTAAACTGCCTTCCTCATATACCCTACACACTGGTGCATAGGTGAAGCAACTTTCACGTGCATATCGTTCGAAGTGTCATTTACACGTGAAAATTTCATGATATTTTCAAAACCATCATCAAACAACAATATTTCATGAAATGGTGTGTTTGAGCGATACTTAATGGATATGAACAAGTATACATTATGTTTGGTTAAAGTAACCGGGTTTTGTTTGCATAGAAATAAAATAAAGTTAATTTTAATTTCAATTTCATTATCACCTGTGCGTTTCTTTTGCAGAGTATATAGATGGTAAGGGGATATTTTTCACTGCTGTTTTCAATAATGTGTATGCCCTTAATGTTTGCTGATGATGTTTCGGCTCTTTCGGACACTTGCATTCATCTGCAGAAAAAGATAAATACCCTTGAATTATTTTGCGAGGAAACCGAAATTAAAGTAAACCTTAAGAAAACAAAAGTGGTTGTTTTCAGAAATGGTGGGCCTCTTAGATCTTATGAAAAGTGGTATTTTAATGGGGAGCAAATAGAAACAAAATATATTTTTATAAATATCTTCGCATCATATTTACACAAAAACTTGTTTCGTCCAGGGCACACTTATGTTTAGCTTCTCAAGCTAGAAAGGCAATTTTATCAGTTAATCACTTTCAAAGGAAATTCAGAAACATTAACTGTACAGATCTATTCAACATTTTTGATGCACTGATCACACCAATATTATGCTATGGATCAGAATTATGGGGAACTTCCTATTGTAAAAGTATTGAATCGGTACAGCTTGATTTTTTTAAAAAGTATCTGAAAATAAATAGGTCATCTTGTAATTCCATTGCCCTGGGTGAATTTGGCAGATTGCCCCTGCAGCTTAATTACATGACCAGTGTAATCCAATATTAGTGTAGACTGTTACAACTTCCTCATTGCAGATTACCTTTTAAAAGCTACCTTATGCCAAAGTCTTTAGATGATAGTGGTAAAACTACATGGGCATCAACATTTAAAATTCCTCTGTTTCATTTTGGTTTTGGATATGTTTGGTTGAGCCATGATGTTGGTGATGCAAAAATGTTTATAAGTTTATTTAAACAAAGATTATCAGATAATTTACAACAGTCCTGGTACTTTTCCCTGAGTAATTCTTCCAAATGCAACTATTATCAACAATTTAAATCAGCGTTAAATGTTGAATGTTATTGATTGTTTAACCTTTCAACACATTTAAGAGCTGTTTTAGCACAATTTAGGTGTAGTAATTTTAAAAAAGCTGTAGAAACTGGGCGCTATAACAACACTGATTATGATCAAAGATTTTGTTTATCATGCAAATCTAAAGGTCTTACCTATATTGAAGATGAATTCCATGTACTGTTCATTTGTGAATCCTATTCACACCTAAGAGAGAGGCTTATTACAAAATGTGTCAAAAAGCCTTATACTGTATATTCTTTAGCAAATCTTTTCAAGAAAACTAATGTAGACACTGTAAAATCTGTTGCCTTGTATCTATTTATGTTAAAAGGATTATTATAAACACACATGAAAGCACATTGTGCCCCTGACTACACTGAAATTTCCTTTGAATGTATTTTGGGCCTATGGCCTTTTACTGCGAATAAACTCTGTCTCTGTCTCTGATATATGACACTGATCTATCTTTGATGATTGATTGGTTGTATTGAACCAATCATCATTTATGAGATTTTAACCAATTCCCAACACTATTTGAGTCAATGATTATTGTGAAAATTGTTTCATCACAAGAGACTGTGGGGTAGCCTAGTAGATAAGGCTTCATCACTTGTCATGCCAAAGACCCAGGTTTGATTCCCCACATGGGCACAATGTGTTAAGCCCATGTCTGGTGTCCGCAACATGATATTGCGAGAATATTGCTAAAAGCAGCGTAAAACTAAGCCCACTCACTCATCACAATAATTTATTGTTTGCAATTTTTTTTTGACAAAAGTGTTGTTACAACATTTAATTTCATGACTTAACAATGCCATTTAGAAAGAGGTCAAATGTAACGTTTGTTATATTTGTGCTTACACTTAGTACCTACTTTAGTACTTTTTTTATAGACAATTACATGATCTTTAGCTCCTGTAGAAAGTGGCAAACATGGATTTAATTATGTCAGCTTCTATGATTACATGACCAGCACCCATGGAACTGAAAGGGAGCCAGCAGGATTAGGTGGTCCGACTTGTGGGTCAATCCCAATTCCATGCTCATCAATGCTCATGATATCAGTCCTTTATTATCCCCCACAACAACGAAGTTGCGGGGGATATAGAAACGAGTTTCTAGCTGTCCGTACGTCCGTCACACTTCGTCTGTGGCATATCTCCTTAACTATTAGTGATAACTTAACCAAACTTGGTACACAGGTCAACCATGATCCCTAGATGTGCCTTTTGGGGGTTAGACCCAGATGATTTGAATTTTATTTTGTGTGGTTTCCATGGAAACATGACTTTGGCTGTGACTATGAGGATGTCATCTTGTTGCATTTCCATGGCAACAAGTTAGGCTTCAACTGAATTTGGTGGTCGTGCTCCATTCTGGAGCAGATCTTAAAAACCTTTCAATACCCTCCTTCCACTTTGCTGTATACACTCCATGCATATTTGACATATCAGAATTAGTAGACATATTCATAAAGATTATTTTGCCGTTGCGGGGGATATTGATGACTTTGTATATCAATAATTATTGATTGTTGGGCTAAGTCATGTCAAACATTAGCAGCATAATTCGATAAATTATCATGGAAATGTCAATAAATCTATTGTATTAAACTAAATTACTGGCTGTTGTCATATTTGAAAGTAATGTCACAGAACCTTTTTTTTCTAGAATCAACAAGACAATTAAGAACCCACAAAATCTCTACACAGGTTGAAAACCACAATGAATGTTTGCACTGCGTGTGCTGTCTGTCAACCCCTGAGAGTTTCTGTTCCTCAGCGCCTATCTTCAAAATGGAATAACAAAGATCAGTGGTACCACAGACAACTGACACACCGGGGTGACAACAAGGATTGCTCAGAGATCATTGGCGCTGGAGACACCTGAGAAGAGTCCGCTACATGAAGCAGCAGGGAGTCCCTTAGCACTAAACTGCTGAACGAGAATTAGGGAGACAGTGAGTTGTAAACCAGCGTTATGAAGACCAGACGGGATATATAATTGTAAACCACCATTAGGGAGACCAGACAGTATATACAGAACTGTAAGTCACCATAAGGGAGACCAGACAGTATGTTTTAGTTGCAAACCAGCATTGGAGAGACCAGACAGTATATATATACACTTGTAAACCAGCATTAGGGAGACCAGACTGTATACACAGTTGTAAACCAGCACTAGGGAGACCAGACAGTATATACAGTTGTAAACCAGCATTATGGAACCAGACAGTATATACAGTTGTAAACCAGCATTAGGGAGACCAGACAGTATATACAGTTGTAAACCAATATTAGAGAGACCAGACAGTATTTATAGTTGTAGACCAGCATAAAGGAGACCAGACAGTATATACAGTTGTAAACCACCATTAGGGAGACCAGACAGTATACACAGTTATAAACAAGCATTAGGGAGACCAGACAGTATATACAGTTGTAAAGCAGCATTAGGGAGACCAGACAGTATATACAGTTGTAAACCAGCATTAGGGAGACCAGACAGTATATATAGCTGTAAACCAGGATTAGAGAGACCAGAGAGTATATACAGCTGTAAACCAGCATTAGGGAGACCAGACAGTATATACAGTTGTAAACCAGCATTAGGGAGACCAGACAGTATATACAGTTGTAAACCAGCATTAGGGAGACCAGACAGTATATACAGCTGTAAACCAGCATTAGGGAGACCAGACAGTATATACAGTTGTAAACCAGCATTAGGGAGACCAGACAGTATATACAGTTGTAAACCAGCATTAGAGAGACCAGACAGTATACACAGTTGTAAACCAGCATTAGGGAGACCAGGCAGTATATATAGTTGTAACCCAGCGTTAGAGAGACCAGACAGTATATATAGCTGTAAACCAGGATAAGAGAAACCAGACAGTATATACAACTGTAAACCAGCATTAGGGAGACCAGGCAGTATAATCAGTTGTAAACCAGCATTAGGGAGACCAGACAGTATATACAGTTGTAAACCAGTATAAGGGAGACCAGACAGTATATATAGCTGTAAGCTAGCATTAGGGAGACCAGACAGTATATACAGCTGTAAACCAGCATTAGGGAGACCAGACAGTATATACAGTTGCAAACCAGCATTAGGGAGAGCAGACAGTATATACAGTTGTAAACCAGCATTTGAGACCAGACTGTATATATAGTTGTAAACCAGCATAAAGGAGACCAGACAGTATATACAGTTGTAAACTTATACGTATACTCTAAGGAGGAAAATAATTTTACAGTTCTTTAACCCCCTATGAGGATACAGCCACTAACAATCTCAGTTACTTAGCTAAACTACCAATCATAAAAAGTACATGTATTTACAAAACATATAAATCACCATTTGTCAATCAATTCTATCTCTTTTAAAACTTCGATATACATTAATATAACAACTATACTATGTATAAAAAAACGAGAATCTCTCAGATATTTGTAAATTTTGATGAAAACAGCATGGAATAGTACTGCTCTGAATATGTCATTGTCAACTGCTTTTTCTTTCCAGCTATTGAGAATCCCCAGAGGTAGGTGTCGTTTTCATTGATGGAGCCAAATTGCCATTTCTGTTCTTTGCTCCCCACAAAATATAAAGTCCTGTCCAACATATGTTTATTTATCGATGTATATACTATTAAATTGTAAAAAGCTATCTAAAATGCGTAAAAATGGCATATTTGTCAGTAAGTAGAGACCTTTGTCTGTTGTGCAGTTATAGAAGTTACTGAGCTTCTTTAAGTGGCGGTTGGTAGGATGAAGAGGTTCACGTTGTATGGATTCACCTCTTTTTGATTGCATAGGATACGACGTTCGGTGTAGATGCTTGATAGCGGCGTTATTATCCCCACCTAACATCCATGGCAAAAAAGATGACGTCAATCCTTATAACATGTTGTTCCTTGACGGTAATGCACAGTAACGAACAATATATTTGACTTATTATATCCTAATGTCTGTTAAACGAGAATGTTCCTTCTTAAACTTAATGAATGGTAATATTAACAGTAACGAACCATATATTTGAGGTTTTTATCTCCTAGTGTGTGATGAACAAGAATATAATCACTATATCCATCATGGCACACATTGTATAATTTGATGTTGTGTTTGTGTGTGTAAACTAGACCTACACAGACGTCCAGGGCAGAAGGTGCAAGACGCCGACAGAATTACGAGACCATGGAGCGGCCAAGTGGAGGTATAGCAACGATACCATATACAAGGAAGAATAGCAATATATGGATGAACACCTTCTGTATTGCTGTGAGAGCGACGTTACCAGTGAACACCGTTATTAAGCAAGTGATGGACAGCAAGAGGATAGAGAAGCATATCCACAAGTTAGAGGAGATGTTTGTACAGTACAATAGGGGATTAGGAAGCCAGACACAATAAGAACGGTTGGCCTTTGATAAAAGGCGTTAACAAGCCTGCAATATACACAAGGGGATAGTGGAAACTGTAATATGCATAAAGGGGGTGGGGGGTTATGGATGGTGAGGATCTTTGATGAGGGTTTGGTCGCGGTTGATTGATGTCTGGAGTCTTTTGATGTAGATAGCTTCTAGTGTCCTGAGTTTACAGTTTGTTAGGTTTGTTGTTAGGGTTTTGGCTCTGTCCGACTGGACCCTGTGGTCGCGTTGCCTTGGATGTGATCTGATAGGGCTGATTTGGATACTGATGCCTGATGCTCTTTGACTCGGGTTTTCACCTACATAGGCCTGTACACAATTGCATCGGACGTGGGCAACTGTTTGCAGTAGTAGTTGTTTCTTGCTGGTTGGTTCTCTTAAAAACACATTTATATTGGCCTGTTTTTTCCAAGATTCTCTGGATTTTGTGGCTGACAATTCCGTAGTAGGGGAGGCATATGACAAAGGGTGCAGATTGTTGGCGGGTAGATTTCTTTGTTTTGTTGTTTAAGTTCTGTATGGTTTGTTGCTGTTCGGGGTAGTTGTTGTACTGGGTGAAAACTTGTTTCAGGTGCTGGAGTTCGGTGGTAACGTCGCTCTCACAGCAATAAAGAAGTTCATCTATATATTGGTATGATACAAACTTCTAAATGCCTCTCAAAGAAAATATTATATACAGTATATACTGAGTTATGTGCACGGCCAAATGGAGGTATAGCACCAATATTATCTATAGCATATACTTAGTGACGTGAACGGCCAAGTGGAGGTATGGCACAAATATTATATATAGCATATACTTAGTGACGTGAATGGCCAAGTGGAGGTATAGCACCAATATTATCTTTAGCATATACTGAGGGACGTGAACGGCCAAGTGGAGGTTTGGCACCAATGTAATATATAGAATATACTGAGGGACGTGAACGGCCAAGTGGAGGTATTGCACCAATGTTATATACAACATATACTGAGGGACGTGAACGGCCAAGTGGAGGTACGGCACCAGTATCATACATAGCATATACTGAGTGACGTGAACGACCAAGTGGAGGTATGGCACCAAGGTTATATATAGAATATACTGAGGGACGTGAACGACCAAGTGGAAGTATGGCACCAATGTTATATATAGAATATACTGAGGGACGTGAACGACCAAGTGGAGGTATGGCACCAATGTTATATATAGAATGTACTGAGTGGCGTGAACGGACAAATAGAGGTATGGCACCAGTATCATACATAGCATATACTGAGTGACGTGAACGGCCAAGTCGAGGTATGGGTTGTTTGGGTTCCAAGGATTTAAGAATTGTGTACATATCAAGCCAAACACATTTTGCTTCATGAAGACATTTAAATATAGTAAATTTACGTATACACGAATATGCCTAAGTCAGTATATGTTGTAATGTAACACCCAACTGAGTAGACACGTACTTAAAGATGTGAAACCGGTAGATCCTGGTTAGACTTGATCGACTAACGGGATCGCGTAGGCGACTAACGGGATCGGGTGGTCAGGCTCATTCGCTGACTTGGTTCATATGTAATTGTATCTCAATTGCGTAGATCGATGTTGACATTGTTGATTACTGGATTGTCTTGTGCAGATTCCATTATTTACAGACCACCGCCATATGGCTGGCATATTGCTGAGTGCGACGTTAAACAACAGACAAGCCAAAGATATGAACTGAATCTTTGCCTTTTCACAATTGTGCGAGTGAAAGGTTCTAGCAGTGGAGCAGGTCATGCCCTATCATTGCGTAGAACGCCGGGTGTCACCCCTGAATTTCAGTGATACAGTCATATAATCCTCACCGCTGGTTTGCTAAATACACAATGCAATTTGTTTCGATGATTGTTAAAAGCCAAATTTCGGGGAGAGATGTTAGACGGAACAGTATGTCAGCTTTGGGAATTACTTGTCTGGTATTAATACCTTTGTCCAATGAGTATGTGTTATATGCGAGGTGCTGAGAGTACGTACATCGACATCGGAATGATCCCAAGGAAAGGTAATGAACATTGCAGATATTTTACGTCGCATCTGCAATAGATCAGCTCTATAACGACAGGCACAACACGTAAAAAGAAAATGAAAGCAATACATCAAATCATTATATGACATTTCCAATCACCTAAACCGTTGGATGCAGATGTCCTACAGCAGTAGCTGGATTAACCAGCCTTGGAAGTGGGCAGAGCCTATGAATTCTACTTCCAATGAAGATCCGGGTTAGAACTGATCTTCAGCAATCAACGCTTTTCGTAAGGGTCAATTAACGGGATCGAGTGGTCAGGCTTGCTCTCTTGGTTGACACGTGTCATCGTATCCTAGTAGCGGATGCTGATTGTGTTAAACATGGAATGAAGCAATAGGTGGACTAATCAGTCTTGGGTGTTGCCTGTGAATTCTTCTACCCGTGATTATCCGCTTCAAGCAGAATGAGGACAACACGAGCCAATGGGCAAATCGGGATATGCAATGTTCTGTTTTGTAGCTTCAATGCTTTCACAAGAACTAACGAAGGACTCACACCCTTAACACCTTGTTTTCAGATTATTATGTCTCAGTCTTTGCGTTCCTCATTCCTGTCACTTATGGGTCGACAAAGTATGCATGGGATTTTCCGCTAGATCAAGCTGACTGGTCAAAAAATAAGTATTTATTTTCTGAAATAACACAATGTTCGAGATGACGATCCTGCTCACATTTATGGCAACCTTGGGTTTGAAGATAAAGAAACCACACGACAAGAAACACGACAAGAAACACTTTGGAGCCGCTTCAACAACTACAGTTCGACCAACGATCTCCCGAGAAGTGGAAGGCCAAGAATCACCACCCCCTTTCAAGATTGGTACATCCGGGTCCATCACCTGCGTAATCGTCATGCCCTACCAACCAGGTTTTAGGAGAGTGTCAGCTCAAGCGATTAGGAACCGTCTGAAGGAAGCGGGTTTACGTGCCTGTAGACCAGTTGTTGGACCTGTACTACGCCCCCTAAATCGACGCCGACGACTCAGATGGTGCAACAACGTAAGGATATGGATTTTACAAAACTGGAGGCGCATCTGGTTTTCTGATGAATCACGTTTTCCTTTGCAATGTCACGACGGAAGACAGCGTGTGTATAGGAGACGTCATGAACATTTTGCGCCCATCTTCGACCGACAGGTGGACGTTATGGCTCTGGGAGCCATCTCATACAACCAGAAATCAGACTTGGTGATCGTCCAAGGGAACCTGAAAGCCCAACGTTACATCAACAACTTGTTACAGCCTCACCTTCCGATATTTGACCAACAGACACAGCTTTTTCAACAGGACAACGCCCGCCCTTATACTGCACGTACAACAATGAAATTTCTGCAGAATTCCAACGTCAATGTCTTGCCATGGCCCTGTCATTCACCAGACCTCAACCCTATTGAACACCTGTGGGATACTCTGGATCGACGCGTACGTCAACGTCAGCCGCCGCCACAGACCCTGCAACAGCTCGCCGTTGCACTGCAGGAGGAGTGGAGAGCCATTCCCCAGGAGAGAATCCGGCGTCTTATCCGTTCTTGTCCAAGGAGATGCCGTGCAGTGATTGCAGCTCTTGGTGCTCAAACAAGATACTTGGAAAGACGCCCCCTGGTGACACACTGGTGTCTGTGAGATGGCTTTTGAAATGACAGTTTTACACATGACCATCTTGGTTATTATTCTGCCAAATTTCAGACTTCTTTCTTAAATAATACACATGCTGTGTCTTCCTAAAACTTAAGATAAAAATCTCTAAAATACAGGAGTTGGATTACTTTTTTGACAGAGTTCATCTACACTGTGGGGTAAATCTGTAAAGATCCATGCTTGTCGATAGAGGCGACTAACGGGGTCAGGTGGTCGTGCTGTCTTTCTTGATTGACACATCTCATCGCATCCCAATTGCTTAGATCGACGCTGGTGCCTTTGATCCACGGCTTATCTGGCCAGGACCTGATTACAACCATTTAGCTGGAATATTGATGAGTACGTTAAACAACAGCAGCAGCAACAACAAACAAAACAAAACCAACAAGAGACTGTTGGGTCATACCTCGAATGACCGTCTTTGCCTCTATCACCCGGAGTGCTCAATCACACTTTGATATAGGCTAAAACTGGTTTTGCCTGAAATTGGAGACGCCGGCAGTGTCAGCCAACCTGGTGTCTAGAAGATGATACACAAATAAACCTCATCTAGTGGGCAAGCATTTGAATTTGATTCACAGTGTATGCTGAAATTTTGTATGTTCACAGGAACTGCTTCGGGTCAAGCCTACGGTGACATCCAGCTTGAAATGAGCGAGAACATACGAAAAGAAAGAGGTACTAAGACGTTGATAAAGACACCATATAGCTGTGCGGAGTCGTACAAAATGCACATTGACTTTGTAGGGGTGCATATTTACTCAACACAGCTATGCTTTACCATCTGGTTTGGTCGGAGGCGGCGGGGTAGCCTCGTGATTAAAGCATTCGCATAGGCCTGGATTCGATTTCCACATGGGTTACAATGTGTGGAGTCTATTTTTGGTATCCCCCAATATGATATTGTTGGAATATTGCTAGAAGCGACACAAAACGAAACTTACATCCTCACTCACCCCGGTTTTCATGATATCAGTGAATAGAACCGGTGGCCCAGAGGTCTAAAGATGAGTCCTAATTTACTATAATTATGGTTCCTGGTTCATTGTAATGTAGAGTTCAATAATGCACAACACAGAAACCGCCTGTGCAACAAGGCTTTGGACCGGCAGGTTAGATATGTCCAAGATGTCACCCTCCGCATCTCGACATCCTCTGCATCTCGACACCCTGTAAGGGAATGTGTGTTTCACAAATGATGTTCACAGATGTAGCAATACACGATGGTTTGGAATTCACTTCTCACACTCAGCTGTTGTTGAACTGACTTGAATCACTGTTTATGTGCGCAGACTCTTTGTCAATAACCTTCTCAGTAGAAGCTGTTCTATACTCTTCATGTGGTTTAATGTCCTGTTTGTTAGTGGTGCCTTATCTTCTGTAGCACATGGTCCTGCCCTATCATTGGTACATGATGCTGTTATGAGTGATACATAGCCATGTTTATCAGTGGTTCGTATACCTGTTTGTAAGTGGTACATAGTCTTTGTATCGATGGTACATAGTCCTTTTTATTAGTGGTACATGGTCCTATTTGTCGGTGGTTCGGGATCATGATTATCGGCGGTACATAGTCTATTCTATCAGTGGCACATAGCTATGTGAGTGAGTGATACGTATCCCTGGTAATCAGTGGTTACATGCCTTATACAAGGGGTACCAATTCCTGATTTTTATTATTATTATGCCCAGATAAACATCCAAACATTTGTAATTAATGGCAGCTTTTATTTCCTGCAATCGACTTTTATTGGAAAAATGTATTTACAGTGTATAGAAAGGCATTACAAGATACAAAGCTTATTGACTTTCAATATAGATTTCTAGCTACAAGGTATTATTAAGACAAAAAAGGAATTGGTCAAAATGAAAAATAGTTGATAACAGTTTGTGTTGTTTTTGCAATGATGTAAATGAGAGTGTGTATCATGTGTACTGGGAAGGTCAGGAAACTCAAACCGTTTGGATAAACAAATTTGGCTCAACACTGTTTATCCTCATCCATTGATATTATCTAAAAACATGATTTGGTTTGGTACTCCACATGAAAATGGAACACTAAATCACATCATCATTGCGCAGTGACATATTCACATATGCAGTAAAATATGCTTCCAAATTTACCTTTATATATTAAACTGTAAAATAAATATTCTTTTTGGAAAATCATATATCAACAACTCTCGTTTTGTAAGTTAATGTTACATAGTGTCCTGTGCATCAGCGGTACATGGACCTGTTTAACAATTCTATACACGTCCTGTTTATCAGCGGTACATGGTCCTGTTTAACAGTTCTATATAAGTCCTGTTTATCAGTGGTACATGGTCCTGTTTAACAGTTCTATATAGATCCTGTTTATCAGCGGTACATGGTCCTGTTTAACAGTTCTATATACGTCCTGTTTATCGGCGGTACATGGTCCTGTTTAACAGTTCTATATACGTCCTGTTTATCGGCGGTACATGGTCCTGTTTAACAGTTCTATATACGTCCTGTTTATCAACGGTACATGGACCTGTTTATCAGCGGTACATGGTCCTGTTTAACAGTTCTATATACGTCCTGTTTATCAGCGGTAAATGGACCTGTTTAACAGTTCTATATAAGTCCTGTTTATCAGCGGTACATGGACCTGTTTAACAGTTCTATAAATGTCCTGTTTATCAGCGGTACATGGACCTGTTTAACAGTTCTATAAATGTCCTGTTTATCAGCGGTACATGGACCTGTTTAACAGTTCTATAAATGTCCTGTTTATCAGCAGTACATGGACCTGTTTAACAGTTCTATAAATGTCCTGTTTATCAGCGGTACATGGACTTGTTTAACAGTTCTATAAATGTCCTGTTTATCAGCGGTACATGGTCCTGTTTAACAGTTCTAAATACGTCCTGTTTATCGGCGGTACATGGTCCTGTTTAACAGTTCTATATACGTCCTGTTTATCGGCGGTACATGGTCCTGTTTAACAGTTATATATACGTCCTGTTTATCAACGGTACATGGACCTGTTTATCAGCGGTACATGGTCCTGTTTAACAGTTCTATATACGTCCTGTTTATCAGCGGTACATGGACCTGTTTAACAGTTCTATAAATGTCCTGTTTATCAGCGGTACATGGACCTGTTTAACAGTTCTATAAATGTCCTGTTTATCAGCGGTACATGGTCCTGTTTAACAGTTCTATATAAGTCCTGTTTATCAGCAGTACATGGTCCTGTTTAACAGTTCTATATAAGTCCTGTTTATCAGCGGTACATGGTCCTGTTTAACAGTTCTATATAAGTCCTGTTTATCAGCGGTACATGGACCTGTTTAACAGTTCTATAAATGTCCTGTTTATCAGCAGTACATGGACCTGTTTAACAGTTCTATAAATGTCCTGTTTATCAGCGGTACATGGACCTGTTTAACAGTTCTATAAATGTCATGTTTATCAGCGGTACATGGACCTGTTTAACAGTTCTATATAAGTCCTGTTTATCAGCGGTACATGGACCTGTTTAACAGTTCTATATAAGTCCTGTTTATCAGCAGTACATGGACCTGTTTAACAGTTCTATAAATGTCCTGTTTATCAGCGGTACATGGACCTGTTTAACAGTTCTATATAAGTCCTGTTTATCAGCGGTACATGGACCTGTTTAACATTTCTATATACGTCCTGTTTTTCAGCGGTACATGGTCCTGTTTAACAGTTCTATATACGTCCTGTGTATCGGCGGTACATGGTCCTGTTTAACAGTTCTATATACATGTATATCCGTGCTGTAAAACAACATGTTGTCCTTATCTGTATTTATCCTTTTTTTACCGCAGCAAAAGACAAGAAAGTAAAACCAACCAAAGCACAGAAAGACGACGACGGTAAGTTGGCCTCTGACTTGTAGCTATTACTTTAATAGCATCAGAACTGAGAACAAGCCAGTTATAAAATTCGTTGTTTCAGCTGCACACTAAAGTATTCGAATGAGATGACGGCGGTCAGATAAATTACATCACCGAGCCTGACCACCAGATCCATTTGGGATCCGCAAGCCCCTGTCTCGCAGTTCCCTGAACCACATTAGTTTCTTTACTACCTAGCCCTCCATAGAGCCCTATATGGAGCAAGTCTAGATTTCCTTTGATTATGAATTTCCCATCTCACTTGGGCTCTTTTTGAATTGAAATGGGTTAGTTTAGGGATTCGCATACATTTTAGCGTTAGTTTAGGGATTCGCATGAATTGTTCGGCATCTTTGTAATCCGGAATCACATATTGTGGTTTGAGATAAAATGCTTTAACTTTCACAAAGCTACTGTGAGTCTTCACGATACTACAAATGATATATTAATCATACAATCATAAAGGATGTTAATATGATTAATAAATGGGTTTTTAACATAAATAATAGTTGTTTGTCACATGTTGAAACACCGATGGTTACCCATATGTATGTTACCTATATGTTTCACTGCAACCGAGTTGATAGCCCATATTTAATAACTGAGTTAGAAACCGTATGGTCAAATTGTTATGACTACCTAATCATTTAGGAGTTAAAAACTTAATATATTTGAAAATTACATAAATGTAAAACCGAATTGATACTCTCTAAACGGAAGCAAGCATATGCATGCTTAACACGCCTGGATGGTGGTAGGATATTTCGGATATAAAGGATATTTATTGTGTTTTTTTAAAAGTTGCTTGTTAAGGAAAATTGTATATAATTGTATTTTTCGAGTTTTAATAATTTTATTATTAATAACATTTCCATCAGTCATATTGGTGGCCAAGCTGAAGTAGTACGACAGTGTTGTATGCGTGCGCTGTGAAGCAGTCATAAAATCAGACGAATTTTTCAATCCAATGTGATAGTTCATTCATTTATTTATGTATTGATTCCGGTGTTTGACGTAGTCATCGTAGAGTAAAGGATATCTTTGTTCAATGCCCTGTCAATATATTGTCTTCAAAACATTACTTAAAATTATTTACTTTACAATTTAATGAAATGTATGTGACATCCATGGAAGTCGGCAGGGAGTTAAGTTGTACACACAATGGCGGATTCTGTATCACCATTATCACTGACTTACATCTTTTTTCCTTCGCAGAGCCAACCTATGAAAACACCGTCGTCAGGAACTAGTCGTTTTCATAACTATAGCTACTGATTTCATCACGTGACCTGGGCACATATCTGCATCAATCGTCAGGAACTAGGATAGTGACATCATCACATGACCTGGCCACATATCTGCATCAGCGATTAGTATTTACCATAATGTATGTTAGCATGTGCATGCCTATCTGTTGTTTACCATAGTTGGCCCAATGCCTATTAAACTAGCCCCGTCGGTGCAGTTTGGCTGTACCTAATTGGCTTCTCTCCCGTTATCTTATTGTTTTCATTGATCATGAAATCTGACATATTGATTTCTTGTATGTACTCTATATGATGACTGATTACTCTATATGATGACTCATTACTCTATATGATGACTCATTACTCTATATGATGACTCATTACTCTATATGATGACTCATTACTCTATATGGTGACTCATAACTCTATATGATGACTCATTACTCTATATGATGACACATTACTATATATGATGACACATTACTCTATATGATGACTCATTACTCTATATGATGACACATTACTCTATATGATGACTCATTACTCTATATGATGACTCATTACTCTATATGATGACTCATTACTCTATATGATGACTCATTACTCTATATGATGACTCATCACTCACCTGACGATCGCCAAGAAGTAGTTAAAGACAATTTAACAAGCTCATATCCCATGTAAATGTACAACAATGACCTTATACGTAGCAATTCTTCTTTGTTTTTATCATTTTCAAAAACACACAACGGTGACGACAGTTGTTAAATTTTTACTTAGAAATCACTAGACTTCGCTTTTTATCCTTAGAGGGCAAACCTTTTATCATTTGTAGTATGCTTTGAATGTAGGATATGTACCGTTTCCTAGGCAACGCAAGTGGTAGTCTAGATCACCTTTTTTCTGTACCACAGCGACAATTGGCTCAGTTGTCACATTTCCATCCAGATTTCTATGTACTTAACTGAGAAAGTGTAATCTTAAATATAACCAATGTAGCATTTCGAAACCTTCTAAAAAGCATACTTGTCTCCTGAAAGACAAGAACTCTTTCGTTTAGTTGTCCGCAGTATTTTGTGAAAGTGTATCGCTCTGAAACATGATATCATTTGATGTCTCACTGACAAAAAAACATGGACTTAACATATGTCCAACACAGGTTGGTTGGTAAAGCAAACGTTCAACACAAGAAGCCATGTTCGATTTTCCATAATGGTTTGTCAGGATGTTGGTACACCTGGCAACCTCTCCTTCATTTCATATACTCATATTCTTCCACTTAAATGTCACTCAGTACCCTCGGTCCTGCTTTCCTTCTCCATGATATACGTGTATGACTTGTACCACATGCTGTCATTATGAAGAGGTGAAACCTCTTTAGTGATCCGACTGTTGAGTTAGATTGCATCGCTCTGAAATGTGATGTAACTGATCTCTCTATTGACATGCGCCCCCCCCCCCCAAAAAAATAATAAAGAAAGAAAGAAAGAAAGAAAGAAAGAAAGAAAGAAAGAAAGAAAGAAAGAAAGAAAGAAAGAAAGAAAGAAAGAAATAATATATAAAAAAATATATGAACACGAGGTCTCATACAGGTTGAATGGATGTTAAACCATTCACCATTCTAACAGACATTATTTATCCAATATACTTATATTTCATTTCTCAAACATTATTATTGGATTAAAAAAATATCATTCCTTATAACGTTTGTTTGTTTGTCAACGTTACAATATTTCAGCTACATGGAGGCGGTCAGTAAATAACCGAGTCTGTACCAGACCGTCCAGAGATATAAATCCTGAGCATCGATTATAAATAATTGGAATACGATGACCTGTATCAGTCAAGTCAGCGAGCTGGACCTACCCAATCCCGTCAGTACAGCATGGGTTGCTGAAGACCACCTCTAACCCACATCTGTCAATATATACGATGTCCTGTATCAGTGAGGTCAGCAAGTCGGACCTACCCTATCCCATCAGTAGAAGATGGGTTGCTGAAGACCACCACCAACCCGCATCTGTCAATATATGTCACACCCATCTTTGACACATACCAGTAATATATAGGATGTCCCATTCGTTTACCACACATGCTGTCAATATATACGTTGTCCAACCCATCCTTTGCACATACTATCAATATATAGGATGTCCCATTCCTTTTCCACACACGCTGTCAATATGTACGATGTACCACCCGTCTCCCACATATACCGTCAATATGTACGATGTACCACCATCTTCCACATTTACTGTAATATTGGAGTTACTGTAATATTGGAGTTCGTCAAGAATGTGTCTTGAGTCCCTTCTTGTTCTCCATTTTTATAAACGACTTAGCTGATAGTATTGAATCGTTGTGTTATCCGGGCATACAGTTACATCCGGAATTAACTCAGTTGTTTCTCCTTCTATTAGCTGATGATATCACTCTATTCTCTGACACCATCCATGGGGTACAAAAACGTATTAATGTCCTTGAACAGCATTGCAAGGAATACAAGCTATATGTCAACTTAGATAAATCTAAAATTTTTGTTTTTAGAAATGGTAGCATCCTTACTAAGCTCGAAAGATGGTATCTAGGAGGTCAATTAATTGAGTTCGTTTCTTCATATAGATATTTGGGAATAGTATTTTCACAAACATTGTCATGGCATAAACATTTTGAGAGCTCTATTTTGCAATCTAAAAAGGCTTTGTTCGGTATTTTGAAAAGTTTATCAAAATTCGAGCTCATGAAATGTGATGTCTTCTTCAGAATGTTTGACACTAAAGTAATGGCTATTTTGCTTTATGGTAGCGAAGTATGTTGTCTAGACTGTGATCGTATTTCATCCATTGGAACAGTGCATACCCTAGCTTGTATATACTTACAATGCGTTAAACTATGTACCCCTAGCCACGTTGTACGTGGCGAAGTCGCGAGATACCCTATGTATATTTTTACGTACAAACGCTGTATTATGTATTGGTACAAACTGTTAAATATGCCTTCTATACGTTTCCCTAAGACATGTTACAATTTATTACTGTTAGATGCTTCAAATGGTAAAATTAACTGGACATCGAAAGTAAAAAAATCTATTGTATACAATGGGTTTTGGATTCTATGGGAAAATCAATTTATTCCTAATATAAATATTTTTATTTCTGAATTCATATCCAGAGCCCAAAACACATATTTACAGGAATGACATTACTCGTTGTCTAGTGGCTCAAAAACTGACCTATATTCTCAATTTTAATTTATATTTGGTGTTGAGCCATATCTCCATTGCATAACTATCAAGAAATTTCGTATTGCCTTAGCGAGATGCAGGTGTAGTTCACACCAACTGAATAAAGAAACTGGTAGATATATAAAGAAACCAAAAAACTCAAGATTGTGTGAAATGTGTTCCTCTAATTATGCAGAAAATGAGTACCACTTTTACTGAATTTTACTGTCTATGATGATCTACGTAAACGTTTTATCCCTGTCGATGTTTTCACCCATGCAACCTTGTGTAAATTTAATCGACTGATGAGTAATGCTACTCCTCTTGTTATAGGAAATCTTGCCGTGTTTATCTTCTATGCTATAAATCATCGTCGCTACAGCTTGAAGGCTGCCAATGTATAACGTTGTACCATGGGCCGATGGCCTACATTTACAAAGACTATACTAGGGATATACCGTCAATATATATGATGTTCAAACCATCCTCCACATATACCATCAATTTTAAGATGTACCACCCATCTTCAACATATACCGTCAATATGTACGATGTACCGCCCATCTTCCATATATACCGTGAATGCATACGATGTCCTACCCATCTTCCATATAAACTGTCAATATATATGATGTACCACCCATCTTCCACATATACCATCAACATATATGATGCACCACCCATCTTCCACTTATACCGTGAATACATACGATGTCCTACCCATCTTCCATATAAACTGTCAATATATATGATGTACCACCCATCTTCCACATATACCATCAACATATATGATGCACCACCCATCTTCCACTTATACCGTGAATACATACGATGTCCTACCCATCTTCCACATAAACCACCAATATATATGATGCACCACCCATCTTGCACTTATACCGTGAATACATACGATGTCCTACCGATCTTCCGTATAAACTGTCAATATATATGATGTACCACCCATCTTCCACATATACCGTCATATATATATATATATATATATATATATATATATATATATATTGCATACATAAATAAAAACAGAATGCCTTTTTCTCCAACATGTTTCGTTCTTTACTCTTCAGGGAGATTGTAGTGGTTACAGTATGACGTCATTACATATATATTGTGACGTCATAATAGGGACAACATTCTAGAGTTGGACAAAGTAAAACGAATTTTAAAAGAACACTACTTCATAGACAAGTACAAACCAATGTTAAACCATTGCAAGCTGTGACCTTGTCGCTCTAGAATGTTGTCCTCCTATTATGACGTCACAATATATATGTAATGACGTCATACTGTAAACCGCTACAATCTCCTGAAGAGCAAAGAACGAAACATGTTGGAGAAAAAAAAAGGCATTCTGTTTTTATTTATCTATGCAATATTTATGACTGAACACCTGTACTACTTTGGACATTTTGTGCGTATATATATATATATATATATATACATTTATATATATTATATATATATATATATATATATATATATATATGTTGTTCAACCCATCCTCCACATATAGAGTCAATATATATGATGTAACACCAATCTGCCACATACACCGTCAATAGATATGATGCACCACCCGTCTTCCACTTATACCGTGAATACGTACGATGTCCTACCCATCTTCTACATAAACCGTCAATATATATGATGTACCACCCATCTTGCACATATATTGTCAATACATACGATGTCCTACCCATCTGCCACATATACCGTGAATACATGCGATGTCCTACTCATCTGCCAAGTATACCGTGAATACATACGATGTACCACTCATCTTCCACATACACCTATCTTTGACACATAGTGTCAATATATACGGTGTAGCACCTATCGTCCACATCGTCCGCACATGCTCACTCTTTGCAGATTATCTTGTTAATGAGATACTCAATAACTACCCTCCTCGTGCTCCTCCATTGCCTCTGTTGTTCGAACTGTCACATGCGTGATCTGAAAGCTGGAGCGAAATTCCCTAACCTACTCCTTCCACAAACTGTTCAGTCACACATTTATCTCGGCGTTTGCCTTGGTAGGGAGATAAGGGCAGGCTTGACAAAGACGGTGTTAATGGTACAACTCATGTTCACATCTATCGAGGTGTTTTTTAACAGTTCTGTACAGTGGCAACATACGACCACGCGGGAGACAACAAGCAGATAGGACACAACAAGGAAATGTGTGTTCTGGGTACGAACAGTCCTAGACAAAGATAACTTAGAGACGTCAGTGATGGGACAAATGAAAATCAGTGAAACACCTGAACGAACTAGCAAGCCAGAACGACGTATTATAATGCTGAAAAGAAATTCCTCGATATTCGTAATAAGATAATTAATTACAGGTAATTACTGTTCTGGGTTAACAAAAGAAGTAGTATTTTGCTATCTTCGTTTTTTCGAACCTCAATTAAAAACGTGTTCGTCTTTTAAATAGAAGCGACAAACCCTTTCCACATTTATACATAAGAAATCTCTGCCAAGGGCAGAGTCGATTGTACAATTGTTACCTGATCATCAGCAGATATTTGTTTCAGCAGTATTGCAGGTGTATGATGCTGTGATACCGGATACCTAATTATATACATTCTATTGTGCGCGTGAGGCTCCTATATATAGAAGAAACAGAGAGCGCGAGCCTGCGAGCGATCCAATAAAAATACGAATTGAAGGTTAAAATCGAATTCCTCACCTTACCCCCGGTTTAGGAAACCTAAACTGGGAATTTTAACAGCGTTCGCTGATAGGCGGATAGGTATCCGGTATTCTGTAATCTTACCGATGCTGTTTCTAAACAAATCGGATCTGAACCAGACAAGCCAGTGATTGTCATCATGCGATACGATGACAGATCGTATGTTTATGAATCACTTTGAGGTAGCGATGATGCCAGGTGTTCGCTAAAAGGCTCATCCTGCCCCGCCAGTGGCACCTGTCATAGACATATGCTACGTCTAGTCATTTGTTCACCTGAAATAATTCGGGAACGTATAGTATAAGTCAAATTAGGGAATTGCATCGGACATCATTTTTTGTCATTGATGCATCAAATTTGGAAACTTCCTCCACATTTCTACCATAAAACTTCTTGGAAGCTTTACTGACGCCTTGAATGTTGTAACCTGGAACAAACAACTTTTGAGCAAGAGTGATATGACGCTCTTTGAAATCCTGATAAAAAGAACACGCTCGAATGTATCTTAAAAGTTGTGAATTGTGAACTAATTCTTATGTGCGCTTTATCATTTATGACTTGAAATAGGTGAACGGTGAGAATGTTGTGCTACTTTCGTTCAATATGGCTTCATGGTGATTTCCTTATCTCCATGTGCTTTCCTCGGAGATCCTTTTCGTAATTTCGTTTTCGTCATGAAGTCACGTTCAACAGTCGACCAACCATGTCTTGAAATTAAGTGGTTGTTTCATCCACTTACACCATTGAGACTGTACGTAGCTCCTCAGATTGAAATAGAAAGATTTGACCATCTAGATTAGGTTTTCGTAATATTATAATATTTGTCAACAACTGCCACATTCTTTGCTCTTATTATAAGTCAACAACTGCCACATCCGTTACTTGTAGTTTATGTCAACAACTGCCAAATCCTTTACTTTTATGATATGTGAACAATTACAACATCCTTTACTCTTATTATAAGAGAACAACTGCAACACCATGTACTTTTATTATAATTCAACAACTGCCACACCCTTTACTTTTATTATAATTCAACAACTGCAACATCCTGCAATTTAATTACAAGTGAACAACAACCACATCCTTTAATTTCTTATCAGTCAACAACTGCAACATCCTTTACTTGTTTTTTATGTCAACAACTGCCACACCTTCTACTTTTATGACATGTGAACAACTGCCACATCCTTTACTTTTATTATAAGCGAACAACTGCCACATCATGTACTATACTATAGGTGAACAACTGCCTCATCCTTCACTCTTATTATAAGTCAACAACTGCCATATCCTGTACTTGTATTATAAGCGAACAACTGCCACATCCTTTACTTTTGTTACAAGTGAACAACTGCCACGTCCTTTACTCTTCTTATAGTTAACAACTGCAACATCCCTACTTTTATTATAAGTCACCAACTGCCATATCCTGCACTTTTATTACAAGTGAAGAACTACCAAATCTCTAAATTTATTATAAGTAACCAACTGCCACATCATGTACTATACTATAGGTGAACAACTGCCTCATCCTTCACTCTTATTATAAGTTAACAGCTGTCACATCCTATACTTTCATTACAAGTGAACAACTGTCTCATCCATAACTTTTCTTATTGTGAACAACTGCAACATGCCTACTTTTTTTATATGTCAAAAACTGCCACATCTTGTACTTTTATTACAAGTGAACAACTGCAACATCCTTTAATTTATTATAAGTCAACAACTGCCACATCCTCTACTTTTATGATACGTGAACAACTACCACATCCTTTACTCTTATTATAAGAGAACAACTGCAATACCATGTACTTTTATTATAAGTCAACAACTTCCACATCCTTTATTTTTATTACAAGTCAACAACTGCCACATCCTTTACTTATATTATCAGTCAACAACTGTCACATCCTCTACTTTTATGATATGTGAACAACTACCACATCCTTTAAGTATTATAAGTCAACAACTGCCGCATCCTTTACTTTTATTACAAGTGAACAACTGCCACGTCCTTTACTCTAATTATAAGTAAACAGCTGCCACATCCTGTACGTGTATTACAAGTCAAAAACTGCCACATCCTTTACTTATATTTTACGTGAAGAACTGCCACACTATTAACTGTTATTATAAGACATCAACTGCCTATTCTATTACCTGTATTATGAGTGAACAACTGCAACATCCTTTAATTTATAAGTCAACAACTGCCACACCATGTACTTTTATTATAAGTCAACAACTACCACATCCTTTAATTTATTATAAGTGAACAACTGCCACATGATGTACTTTTATTATAAGTCAACAACTACCACATCCTTTAATTTATTATAAGTCAACAACTGTCACACCATGTACTTTTGTTAAAAGTAAACAACTGCCACATCTTTTACTCTTATTATAAGTGAACAACTGCCACATCTTTTACTCTTATTATAAGTTAACAAATGCCACATCATTTACTTTATTATAAGTGAACAACTGCCACATCATTTACTTTATTATAAGTGAACAACTGCCACATCATTTACTTTATTATAAGTGAACAAATGCCACATCATTTACTTTATTATAAGTGAACAAATGCCACATCATTTACTTTATTATAAGTGAACAAATGCCACATCATTTACTTTATTATAAGTGAACAACTGCCACATCTTTTACTCTTATTATAAGTTAACAACTACCACATCCTTTACTCTTATTATAAGTGAACAAATGCCACATCATTTACTTTATGGCACCCATGAAGGGCCACCTCCTCGTGGTGGGTGCTGGGTAACGCTAAGAGCCCTTCAACCCCCCGTTGTGGACCCGGGGGGATATTTGGTCCACCAACCCGTTTGCCGTGGGTTGCGCCCCTGTGTCGGTGGAGGACGGGAGGCTGGTGGTTGAGGGCACTGGTTCCAGGAACAGTGTTCCTTTGCCCAACACACCACTTCGCCCCTTACTTCACCTAGACGGGTGGTTGAACTGGCCCGGTTCAACCAATCGGCTGGTCACGCCAAGCCCTGTGTGTACTACAATTGTGAATTGTAACACAAAATTTTGGGATTTATGTAATGATATTTTTAAGTCTTGGCCAATTTTTGATCTCATAATTTCAAATACACTATTATATGTATGTTTTTGCCTAGAGTCGTATGCCCAGAAGGCGGTGGCTCATGGGCCAATCTGGTGGAAGAATAAATCTTTTACTTTCTTCTGCTGGAGTATATCATCCGAGTATCCTTGGTGCTGCAAGTTGGAAACCCACTTGTTTTAGCATTGTCTTCATGATACTCCATGGTGGGTGGGGAGCTCGGATGATGAACCCTTAAACACTAACCATGGCTACCGAAACCCTATTACTAAAAAAAAAGAAACGTCCTCTTGACACAGATCCTGAGGTTAATGACCAACGACCGACCACTTCTATTGAATACTGGCCACGTTTTGTAGTGCTTGAGACTGTTGACAAGACTCCTTTAAAACTGAACCCTTTGCTGTTTCAAAAAGGCATACAAGGCATTGCAGGTGATGTCAAACAGGTCAAACGTTTACGGACAGGTTCTCTACTTGTTGAATGCAGTAGAGACATCAGGCAAACAACCTTCTGTCAACTAAATCTTTGTCGGTATTCCTGTATCAGTCTCGGCTCACCGAACGCTTCACACCAGCAAGGGTATTGTGAGAGACCGAGACCGACTGTTTGCTGATATCCTAGAAATTGACATTGCATCAGAGATGAAGGAACAAGGTGTGCTCTACGTGAAACGTTTCACTGTCCGAAAAAACAATGAGATCCAACAAACGAACACCTATTTGTTTTCATTCTCCACTCCAACTGCTCCTACTTCCATAAAGGCTGGTTACTGTCAAATCAAAGTGGATACGTACATTCCGAATCCACTGAGATGTTTCAAGTGCCAGAAATACGGCCATGGTGTAAATACTTGCACATTGTCTGTTGTGTGTGCTCACTGTGGTGAGAAGACACACACGACAGAAGATTGTGCAAGTAATTATAAGAAATGCACAAATTGTTCTGGAGACCATTCCTCTTTCTCTAAAGACTGCCCAATTTGGAAGCTACAGATGGAGATCAATAAGATCAAATTCACTCAAAATATTAGTTTTGCCGAAGCCAAACAGCTTGTCCAAAGATCTGAATTAAAAGAAACGTATGCCTCCAAAACCAGGACTCCATCTGAGGCAACACTTAAAGTAACTACATCATCTTCAAGCTGCCAAAACAAATTTGACTTGGGTGAACACCACTTCCACAGATTTTCTCCACTGCAATATCAATTCAAACAGTAGAATCACTTCCTGACAGGTCCGACAGTCAACCAGAGCCAGATCATGATCATGGTACATCATCTCAGTCTACCACAAGGTCTCAATCGCAAGCTCATGTACATCACACATTACTAAAGGAAGAATAAACCTAAGCCTGATTACTCGAAAAAACAAAGTGGCAGAACCCCAAAAGGGTCTGAAAATAAAATTAACCTTTACAACAAATATGGATCACTTGAGGACATGGACGTGTCCGAAAATGTCCATTCTAGGGCACAAAGCTTGTCGCCCTCCAAAACAGTGCGGGTAGATCCCCAATAAATCCCCAAAAGATAGTTTCTTCGAACAACATCGTACAGTGGAATTGCAGAGGACTACGGCATAATTACAATGAGTTACAGTTATTAGTCCAGGATTGTATGCCGTCAGCATTTTGTCTGCAAGAGACATATTTAAAGCAGACTGATTCTTTTGACCTACGTCATTTCAATGCTTATCATTATTTCTCACCTCCAGGTGACAGGGCCACTGGAGGATCTTCAATCCTAGTCAAACAGAATGTTATCCATAGCCCTAATACGCTTACTTCTAATCTTCAAGCAGAAAGCAGTGCGACTCCACTTTACACGTTGCATTTACATTATGCTCTTTGTATATCTCACCGTCTTCAGTCATTCAGAAGACTGATCTTCAAACTCTGTATGACCAACTCCCTAAACCCTGTATTATTATGGGGGACTTGAATGGCCACAACCTACTCTGGGGTAGCATAACTACAAACGCTAAAGGTAAACAACTGGAGGAGTTTTGTTCAGACAATGATTTGTGTATTTATAATGATGGTTCCAACACGTATCTACACCCTGGTACAGGAACCTATTCTGCTCTCGACTTATCAATCACAAATTCAGAATTACTAAATGAATTTGAATGGTCAGTCCATGATGACCTATGTGGAAGTGACCATTTTCCTACTGTACTGAAACCTGTAAGCCCATCTGATATTACTCCATATTCGAGATGGAACTTTCAAAAGCTAACTGGCCTTTGTACCAAGCTCTGTGTTGTAGCAGACTTAAACCCGAACTCTTTATAGAATGTACTGATCCTATAAAGATTTCTCTGATGAACTAATTAATATTGCTGATGAGTGTATCCCCAAATCCTCTGCAATTCCACACATACGAAACCATGGTTCACCAATGAGTGCAAACAGGCTAGGAAGGCACGGAAGAAAGCTGAGAATTATTTCCGTCGCCATCCTATGGTCCATAATTTGAATAAATTTAAAATTTTAAATGCTAAGGCACGGCGTACCTTCAAGCAAAGTAAACGTCAATCCTGGCGAACTTATGTCTCAAAAATAAATTCACGAACGCCGATATCAAAAGTATGGAATATGATCCAGAAAATAAAAGGTAAGGGTTCTAAATCTAGCATTAAGCATCTGAAAGATGGAGACGAATTATTAACTAGTCAATCTGATATTGCAAATAAACTTGGAGAAACTTTGGCCAAACACTCTTCCTCATCGAATTATTTACCTCAATTCCAAAAATTATAAAACAACAGGAAAAGAAAACTATTAATTTCATTTCAGATAATGGGGAAGATTACAATGAACTATTTTCTATTCATGAGCTTCATACTGCTCTTGATCAAGCTCATGATACGGTTACAGGTGCTGATAACATACATTATCAGCTCCTGAAACACTTACCGGATTCATGCTTAGAAACCCTTTTAAACATTTTTTGATGATATTTGGACTTCTGGACAATTTCCTTCTTCATGGCATGATGCTATTATTGTACCCATCCCTAAACCTGGACGTGATCATACTGATCCTTCGAATTATCGACCAATCTCATTAACTAGCTGCGTTTGCAAGACCATGGAGCGCATGATAAATAATCGACTTGTGTGGTACTTGGAAACTAATAACCTTCTAACAGACATTCAATGTGGTTTCCGTAAAAACAGAAGTACTATCGATCATTTAGTGCGTTTAGAATCCCTTTATTAAAAAATGCCATTATTAAAAAACAACATGCAGTGTCGATCTTTTTTTCGATTTAGAAAAGCATATGACACCACATGGAAACATGGTATTTTTAAGAGATTTACACGATTTTGGATTGAGAGGCCGTTTGCCTCTTTTTATATCACAGTTTTTAACGGACAGGCAATTTCAAGTTCGCGTGGGTTCTACCCTGTCTGATCATTACAATCAGGATCAGGGTGTCCCACAAGGCAGTATTTTATCTGTCACACTCTTTAGTATTAAAATAAATAGTCTGTCAAAGGTTTTAAGTGATTCAATCGATGGATCTCTTTTTGTGGATGATTTTAATATTTCTTGCCGTGGTAAAAACATGCGAACTATTGAGAGACAATTACAAATTTGTCTCAACAAATTTGTCTCAAAACCAAATGCCTGAAGGCACTCGACTTGTTGAAAGTCGTTTCCAGTTCAAAGTGGGGAGGGGACCAAACCACCCTCCTTCATTTGTATAGATCACTGGTCCGATCGAAACTTGATTACGGCTCTATCGTATATGGTGGGGCCTGTAAAAGCAACCTCAAACTACTTGATTCTATCCATCACCAGGGTCTAAGACTTTGTCTTGGGTCTTTCAGAACCTCTCCCATTGACAGTCTCTACGTTGAGGCCGATGAGCCATCTTTAAAACTTCGCCGTATCAAATTGTCCCTACAATATATCACACAAAAGTTATATTCTAATGAATCCAATCCTGCTCACAGTTGCGTTTTAATCCTCTTTATGAGGACTTGTATAATAAAAACCTTCACTTGTTCCACCTCTTGGGATAAGAATCCAACAATATATTTCTGCTGCTGGCATTGAGTTGGAGAATATATCTCCTTCCCGTCTTCTTTCTTCTCCTCCTTGGCAATTAGTGAGGCCTCAAGTTGACCTAACACTGACAAAGTTTAAAAATCCGAAACTAACGAATTACAGTATAAACAAGAATATAATCAATTAAAGAATAACTATAATACATACAAATCCTTATTTACAGATGGGTCCAAGGATGGTGGCGTAGTGGCATGTGCCACTGTCATTGATCCAGAACAATATCTTCTAGAATACCTGATAACAGCTCTATATTTACAGCAGAAGCAAACGCCATCTTAACAGCTCTTAAATATATTCAAAGACATCCCAAAACATAAACAATATATAATATTTTCTGACTCTCTTTCTTGCCTTCAGGCGATTAAAAATCTCTTGCAAACATCCACTTTTAATTGAAATAATCGAATTATATAATGATCTTGCTACTGGCCAATGCGACATCGTCTTTTGTTGGTTACCCAGCCACGTTGGCATTTCTGGGAACATTAATGGCTGATCTTGCTGCTAAGGCAGCACTCAACAAATCTGTGACACCACTTCTTATTCCATATTCTGATTATAAAGCCAGCATTAGAACATACATCCGCGATCTAATGCAGAAGAAGTGGGACACCCAAGTAGGTATTAATAAATTACATGCAATAAACCCTACATTGGTTACACCTACTTGGGTTGTCAGTCCAGATTTGAAGAGGTCACATATGCGACGATGTCGCATTGGCCACACAAGATATACTCATGAATATTTACTGAAAGGCGAAGATCCTCCGTTTTGTATCCCTTTGCGATGAAAGAATCACGGTCAAGCATGTCTTGCTTGACTGTGTTGAATTCTCCATCATAAGGGATAAATATTTTAATGTTAAAACTGTTTGGGATCTTTTTAACACTGTTCATGTTCATTTAATTCTCGGTTTTTTAAAAGAAATTGATTTGATCACTGATTTTTGATTAATATGCTCTGTAAGTAGATGTATTTTAATGATTGGTAGTTTAGATTGTTAACTTAGATTGTTAGTGGCTCTGCCCTCAAAGGGGGTTGACGTAGCGTAAAATTATTGTCCTCCTGAGAGGGTACGTAAGTCCCAAACATTTCAAGTCAGTTTAAGTGTACCAGGTTTTTAATCGTAGTATATTTGTGTTTTTAATGTATGGCTAAATCTCAGCATCAACGCCAATGGCTGAAGGGATGGTGTAAATCCAGCTAGGGTCCATGCAGGTAGCAAAAGTAATGTAAGTCCCCATGGGCGTTAGTATGGTGATCTACGTTCAGTTGTTGGCGCTCTATAGCCCGTATTTTGTATTGTATTGTCTTCTTTAATTGGAATATTTTAACTTTGCGCTAGTTTTATATTTATAACTGTGATTCTCTAGTCTTTTTACTGTCCATCGTCGACAGGTTTTAATCTTTAAAATGTTTCTACTTTTCATTGTATGGCTTGTTTTCGTCACGATATGGCTGCAATATTGCCGATGTGACGTTAAATCTTAACTCACTCACTCACTCACTCACTCATTTACTTTATTATAAGTGAACAACTGCCACATCATTTACTTTATTATAAGTGAACAAATGCCACATCATTTACTTTATTATAAGTGAACAAATGCCACATCATTTACTTTATTATAAGTGAACAAATGCCACATCATTTACTTTATTATAAGTGAACAACTGCCACATCTTTTACTCTTATTATAAGTTAACAACTACCACATCCTTTACTCTTATTATAAGTGAACAAATGCCACATCATTTACTTTATTATAAGTGAACAACTGCCACATCATTTACTTTATTATAAGTGAACAAATGCCACATCATTTACTTTATTATAAGTGAACAACTGCCACATCTTTTACTCTTATTATAAGTTAACAACTGCCACATGATTTACTTTATTATAAGTTAACAACTACCACACCATGTACTCTTATTATAAGTTAACAACTACCACATCATTTACTTTTATTATAAGTGAACAAATGCCACATCCTTTACTTTTATTATAAGTCAACAACTGCCACAACCTTTACTTTTATTATACGTAAACAGCTGCCACATCCTTTAATTCATTATAAGTCAGAAGTGCCACACCATTTACTTTTATTATAAGTAAACTTCTGTCACATCCTTTACTTTTATTATAAGGCAACAACTGCCACACCATGTATTTTATTTTAAGTCAACAACTACCACATCCTTTAATTTATTAAAAGTGAACAACTGCCACATCCTTTACTCTTATTATCAGTCAACAATTGCCAATCCTTCACTTTTATTATAAGGCAAGAACTGCAACATCCTTTACTTTTATTAGAAGTAAAGAACTGCCACATTCTTTACTTGTATTATAAGTCAACAACTGCAACATCCTTTAATTTATTATAAGTCAGAAGTGCCACACCATGTACTTTTATTATAAGTAAACACCTGCCACATCCTTTACTTTTATCATAAAGCAACAACTGCCACATCCTTTACTTCATTATAACCAAACAACTGCCTCTTGTTTTACTTGCATTATAAGTCAACAACTATAAAATCCTTTGCTTTAATTTTAAGCCAACAAATGCAACTTCCTTTACTTTTATTATAAGTCAACAACTGCCTCATCTTTTACTTGCATTATAAGTCAACAACTATAACATCCTTTGCTTTAATTTTAAGCGAACAAATGCCACTTCCTTTACTTTTATTATAAGTCAACAACTGCCACAGCCTTTACGTTTTATAAGTCAACAACTGCCACATCTTTTACATTTATTATTAGTCAACAACTATAACATCCTTTCCTTATATTATAAGTCAACAATTTCCGCATCCTTTACTTTTATTTTAAGTCAACAACTGCCACTTCCTTTTCTGTTATTATAAGTTAACAACTGCCAGATCCTTTACTTTATTATGGTCCACAACTACCTCACCCTTTACTCTTATTATAAGTGAACAATTGTCACATCCTTTACTTTTATTATGAGTAAACATATGCCACATCATGTACTTTATTATACGTGATCAACAACTCCATCTTTACTTATATTATAAGTCAACAACTGCCACGTCCTTTACTTCATTATAAGTGAACAACTGCCACGCCCTTTACTTTTATTACACGTCAACAACTGCCACACCCTTTACCTTTATTATGAGTCAACAACTGCCACATCCTTTCCTTATATTATAAGTCAACAATTTCGGCACCCATGAAAGGCCACCTCCTCGTGGTGGGTGCTGGGTCACGCTAAGCGCCTTTCAACCCCCCGTTGTGGACCCGGGGGGCATATTTTGGTCCACCAACCCGTTTGCCGTGGGTTGCGCCCCTGTGTCGGTGGAGGACGGGAGGCTGGTGGTTGAGGGCACTGGTTCCAGGAACAGTGTTCCTTTGCCCAACACACCACTTCGCCCCTTACTTCACCTAGACGGGTGGTTGAATGGGCCCGGTTCAACCAATCGGCTGGTCATGCCAAGCCCTGTGCATTCTATTTTCTATTGCACAAATTTGATTTATTTAAATGATCCTGTTTTGGGCTTTGGAAAACAAAAACATTTCACAAATTTTGAATTGACTTTAAATGAGAACGATTGTTCCTTTTTTGCCTAGAGTCGTATGCCCAGAAGGCGGTGGCTCATGGGCCAATTCAGTGGAATAATTAAACTTTTAGTTTTTCTGCTGGAGTATATCATCCGAGTATCCTTGGTGCTGCAAGTCGGATATCCACTTGTTTTTAGCATTGTCTTTATGATACTCCATGGCGGGTGGGGAGCTCGGATGATGAACCTTCTACGCTTACTATGGACTACCAAAACCCCCAAAAACGAAACAAACGTCAATTGGACAGTGATGATGATGACCAACGACCGTCTACCTCAATTGAATATTGGCCACGATTTTTAGTTCTCGAAACTCTTGACAAATCCCCCTTTAAAATTAAACCCTTTTGCAGTGTCAAAGGGTGTACATGGTATTGCAGGTGAGGTCCGCAATATCAAACGATTACGCTCAGGCTCTTTGCTCATCGAATGCAGCAGGAAAACGCAATCAACAAATTTGATGTCAACTCAGCTGTTTGTTGGAATACCGGTTTCGGTATCTCCACATAGAACTTTGAACACAAGCAAAGGAATCGTCAGAGACCGGGATCAACTATTTGCAGATATGAGTGAATTGGACATCGTCTCTGAAATGAAAGAACAAGGAGTGACATTTGTGAAACGATTCACAACACGGAAAAACTCTGAGACTAAACCAACAAACACTTACCTATTCCATTTTTCTTATCCAACTGCTCCAAAATCAATTAAAGCAGGGTATTGTCATCTCAACGTTGATATTTATATTCCCAACCCATTGAGATGTTTCAAATGTCAAAAGTATGGTCATGGTGTAAACAACTGCACAAATTCTATTACATGCGCTCACTGCAGCCAAAAAAACCCATGTTACTGAAGATTGTGATAGCAACGTTAAACAGTGCACTAACTGCTCTGGTACTCACTCATCTTTTTCAAAAGAATGTCCAGTCTGGAAACAACAAATGGCAATTAATAAAATTAAATTCACAAGGAATCTTAGTTTTGCTGATGCCAAAAAACTTGTTGTTCAGACACCAGAACCAAACGAGTCTTATGCTTCAGTTACGAGATCCGGAACACATCAAAATGTAACTTCTATTGTGTCCACTTCGTCAACACAATGCCAGACTAATTTGACATGGGTTGACTCTGATGCACCCAAGCTCTACTCTCCTGACCAGTCAACACAAACCGTTGTATCAACATCCACAACAACTGCTAGAGCAGAAGTTGAATCTCGGCCATCTTCCCAGGAACAATCATCATCACAGTCTACTTCCAAACTTCCGTCTGGAATTAATGGGAAGCAAGTGTCGAAACAGAAAAACAAACCAATAAACGAATCGTCAAAAAAATACCATAGTGGCAGAGTCTCAAAAGGGACAGAAGACAAAATCCAAATTTACAATAAGTTTGGATCTCTCGAAGACATGGATGTCTCTGAAAACATCCAGTACAGGTCTCATAGCTTGTCGCCCAAAAAAAAGACAAGGGGTAGATCTCCAATCAACCCACCAAAGACATAGTTTCTTCACGTATTGTCCAATGGAATTGTAGAGGACTAAAGACCAACTTCAATGAATTACAGCTATTGATTCAGGATTTACAACCATCAGCTTTCTGCTTACAGGAAACCTACCTGAAGCAGGTGGACAATTTTAATTTACGTCAGTTCATTGGATATCATTCTTTTTTCTCCTCCGGGTGACAGGGCCACTGGAGGATCTTCAATCCTTGTTAAGCAGGGTATTA